AACCAAAAATCCACATACAAATACCCGCGAGAACCTCAGAAAACAAACATATATATATATATGTCTGTCTGTCTGTCTGTCTGTCTGTCTAGGTGTGTTCGGGTCTTTTCCCATGTAAGATTGAGAGTATCTTGGTGACGTTTCGGCAAGGTCCCACTCGCCATCCTCAGGCTGGTGCTTTCGGCTTGCACTGGCACAAAGCAGAAAGAACCAGCCTGAGGATGGCGAGTGGGATCTCACCGAAACGTCGCCAAGATACTCTTAATCTTACACGGGAAAAGACCCGAACACACCTAGACCTACATACCTGTACCCATGAAAATCTACGAAAACAAATATACATACACACACACACGCAGTGGGTATGAGGATCTAAACATGCAAAGGATATGGGATTCTTTGCCCCATTCTTGCAATGTTTGTGATTGTGTGTGATTGTGTGTGTGTGTGTGTGTGTGTGTGTGTGTGTGTGTGTGAACTTGGGCTTACTTCAGAAACTCTTCCTTTGACTTGAAATGTTTTTAAGTGTCTTTCTGATGCCCTTTTCTGTCTTCTTCCCTCTGAAGCCAACACATCCAGACAGAAGCTGGTTTATCACACCATTTGGAGGAAACCCTTGGTGGGTATACCTGGCTGCAGCTATTCCTGCTCTCCTGGTCACCATCCTCATCTTCATGGACCAGCAAATCACAGCTGTGATTGTCAACCGTAAAGAGCACAAGCTGAAGGTTGGTGCCTTGTTATGTAACATTAGAACCGGGGTAGGATTCAACCGGTGTAATATGTCAGGATTCCAGCAATCGCTCTAATTAAATCATGATTCTCGAGCCAAGCTTCAAAAAACTTCAAAGGATTCATTAGAAGCGACATATACTGGCGCTGCCCTGTACGCAGCCAACTCTGGCCTACGTAATTTACAGTCATCTCTGACCCTGTTTCCCCCCTTCCCTCCTGGGTGTGTCATAAATCAGATTCTCCAATTGAGCACGTTCACGGGCTGGGTGTCATCATTCACATTCTCCAATTAAAATATACTCGTGGGCAAAAACTCTGGTATTTTAGTTACAATATTTTAAAGAGAAGAGTTGGAATGTACTTTCACTCCTCACCCCCTTTTTTATGGCAACTACTAAAACAGGCATAGGAATGTTTTATGAGTTGACATAAAAACCCAGTTTGTTGAGCACCTGCTTCGTGCACAGCATTTCAAAACTCAGTGTTTCAGCTCTAATACTTACCTTCTACTGCAGCCCCAGTGAGTTAAAGAGCTGGGACATGGCAATCTGCTGTGCCGCGCGAAATAGCTGAGCTGCAAAACACGGACATAAATGGCAGACTCGGGCAGGGCCAAATGATCACTGGAACTACCGGTTCGTCCGAACTGGTAGAATCCTACCCCCTGATTAGAGCAGGGATTCGACAAATCGTTTTAAAGAGAAAATTGTGGTAGATCTCTCCAGGAGATCGGTGCAGATAACTGTTCTGAGAACAAGGGTGATAGCTTCTAATGAGGTCTCCTTGGAAGCAGTATATTGCTTAAAATAATGCATTGAGGGATGCATTATTAAACACGAGCCAGCAGTCTGAGACAGCAGCCAAGCAAGCTAATACATCCCTTGGTTGTATAAACAGAGGCATAGAATCAAACTCACATGAAGTCTTCGAACCGCTTTATAAAGCCTCAGCAAGACCACACCTAGAATACCGTGTCCAGTTTTGGTCACTACATTACAGAAAAGATGTTGAGACATTGGGGGGGAAAAGCGCAAAGAAGAGCAACTAAGACGATGAATGGCCTGGCAGACAAACACATAGGAAGAACGGTCTAGAGAAAAGAAGGACTAGAAGTGACATGATAGCAGTATTGCAATATTCGAGGGGCTGCCGCAAAGAAGAGGAAGTCAAGCTATTTTCCAAAGTGCCAGAAGGCAAGACCAGAAGCAACGGATGGAAACTAATCAAGGAGGGAAGCAACCTGGAATTGAGGAGAAACTGCCTAACAGTGAAGATAATTAACCAGTGGAACAGTTTTGCCTTCACAAATCATGGACACTCCATCACTGGAGGGTTGTTGTTTTTTTAAAAAAAAAAGACTGGACAGCCACCTATCTGAAATGGTATAGGGTCTCATGCTTCAGCAGGGGTGGGGTTGGACTAGAAGACCTCCAAGGTCCCTTCTAGCTCTATTCTGATTGGCCTTATGGTGCATTTAGACATTTTAGATAATGATTCCCAGAAGGCCTTAACAATTAAGATGATGAGGTTTTAATCCTAAATTCTAGAAGACTTCAAGAAATTGAGATGAACATTGGTTTCCACCCATTACTTCTTGTCCTGCCTTAAGTGCTTTGGAGAATATAATTCTCCCAAATAATTTGGAGAACGCATCTCCCCTTCTTCAGAGGCATCTTTGCTGATCTTCATTTCAAGGCCTGACCACCCCATTCCTTGGTTTCTGTGTGACTGGAACAGAAATGGGATTAAATCAACATAGATCCTCCACAGTCACCTAGCATTTGCCCCTAAGGCGGGGAGGAAATTAGTGAGAAATGCTTTCTGAAGAAATATAAATGGGCTTTGTCTTGGCTTTGAATCAGGAAACACAGCTGGAATAACTGTTCAGCCTGGAAGGAAGTATCTTTGGATTCCATCAGCTGCTTATCATTGCAAAATCAACATTTATCTATTAATTTCAACATTTATCGTTTATTTCATCTCAGTGTCTGATTAGCATTTTTCTCCAAATGTGGAACTCTACCCTGACTGCTCTTTAGAAGGCCAGATCCTGACGATGAAACTCAAATACTTTGGCCACCTAATGAGAAGGAAGGACTCGCTGGAGAAGAGCCGAATGCTGGGAAAGGTTGACGGCAATAAAAGAAGAAGGAGACGGCAGAGAAGGAGGTGGCTGGATGGAGTCACTGAAGCAGTCAGTGTGAGTTTAAATGAACTCCAGAAGATGGTAGAGGACAGGAAGGCCTGGAGGAACATTGTCCATGGGGTCGCGATGGGTCGGACATGACTAACAATTAACAACAACCAACCACAGTGTTCGGATAAACCAAGGATCTCCCATTTTTGAAGGCTGGGAATTCAGAATCTTTGCAGGTGGCTGAAGGTGTGAACGGAATCCCAACGAAAAATAACAAGAGAAGGTCAGATGGAGGAAGACACATTGAGAAGAGCATGCTGGATCTGTATTACTGCAGCCCAGGTTCAGGATAGCTATGTTTATCTTCCATTTTTATCCAGCTGGTTTATCTATATGAAGTTGAAGAGAAGATAGCAGGCCAGACAAGGAACAATGGAGGGAAACTGAACAAGGAGAGATTCAACCTAGAAATAAGGAGAAATTTCCTGACAGTGAGAACAATCAACCAATGGAACAGTTTGCTCTTGGAAGTTGTGGGAACTTCATCACTGGAAGCTTTGTAGAAGAGACTGGACTGCCCAACTGTCAGAAATGGTGTAGGGTCTCCTGCTTGGGCTGGGGGGTTGGACTAGATAACCTACAAGGTCCCTTCCAACTCTGTTAATCTGTTAATAGAGTTTTAGCACAAACCTTTTCGAACACCATTTAAGAAACTTGTTTGGCCTGCCTGCATTAACAAGAATTTCCCAAGAGATGGCTATGCAAGGTTTTATGAACTTGAGCGATACTGGAACATCGAGGTGAAATTTTCACACCACATGGCTCTCCCATCTCACATTTTTCTAATCGATTCCTTCCTTATCAGCTGTTCTTTTAATTGACAGATACTGTCTAGCGAAATAAGATTACCAATCCTTGATACACGATGGCAGGATAAAGCTTAATGTCCCCATCGGAAAGCATTTTCGCTCACATGGCGCCATGTGCTTCCATCGACCGTCCTGCACGACAAGCATAAAAAGATGCCATTGACTGAAAGTCTCTGCTCCTGTGGCTCAAGAGAGGTGGAGACCGTAGGACACATACTCCTTCGATGCTCTTTCTATAGCAGGGGTATCAAACTGGGCTTCTTCAAGGACTGGATCAGCATTGTAGTTCTCCTCCGTGGGCCAGAGTGTCAGAGTGTTTACAGCGTGACTATTATTATGAGACAACCCAGAGCAAAACACAGCACACCGAGACTTAGACATTTAACAGTGGTTTATATACAACAGTTATATACCGACATATACGTGATAGGCAAAATAACTTACAAGTAATCTTTCTTCTACACTGAGAACTCTGCAATGAATACCGGACACAAGGAGAGAGAACCAAGCCCTCTAATGGCTGCCTCTTATATAAACACCTCTTAAAGGGATAGAACCCATCCCAAGTCTTAAAGGGCAATACCCATGCTATGCTGAATCATCCTTGTTGTATCAGTCAGCTGCTGCTGACTGCTCTTAAATCTTAATACCTTAACACGGAGGAGGGGGGAGGGAGACAGGATGGATGCTTCCTGCAGCACCCTACCAGCCAAAAGAGGGCACGGGGGGGGGCATCATGTGCCCCCCTGCACCCATTTTTGGCCTAGACGGCCTCCTGCAGCACTTTGCCGGCCAAGGCGGGGGGGGGGGGCAGAGTGCTGCAGGAGGCCATAGAGGCTGAAAATGGGCTGCCCAGGGGCTGCGCATGGCCCCCCTGTGGGCCATTTTGGCCAACAGAGGCACCACCAGCCGGTCCTTTGATATTTCCAGGCCAGACCCGTAGGCCAGATCTAAGCATCCCGTGGGCCAAATCTGGCCCACAGGCCTTGAGTTTGAGACTCCTATTCTATAGGTAAAGGTAAAGGTCCGCCTCGCACATACGTGCTAGTCGTTTTTGACTCTAGGGGGCAGTGCTCATCTCCATTTCAAAGCCGAAGAGCCAGCCCTGTCCGAAGACGTCTCTGTGGTCATGTGGCTGGCATGAGTAAACGCTGAAGGTGCACGGAACACTGTTACCTTCCCACCAAAGTGGCCCCTATTTTTCTACTTGCATTTTTACATGCTTTCGAACTGCTAGGTTGGCAGAAGCTGCTGGGACAAGTCACGGGAGCTCACTCCATTACACAGTGCCAGGGATTCGAACCGCTGAACTGCCGACAAGCTCTGTGCCTGAGCCATCTGTGCTATAGAGATATTCAAAAATAACATATCCTCCCAATAATTGATAGGCATCCTAGCCTTTCCAACAACGCTTATCTCTAGTGGCTGCTTAAGGAGGAACAGACTGTGATTACATCTCAGGTGGCTAGATTCTGCACAGCAGCACTGGGGGTTCATCGGAAACACGTGATTAACCCACCGCAGCTATTTTACACAACTAATGTAGCAAACCTTTTTGCATTACTACTCATTTGCATTTTTAGTGTTTAATGCCTATGAGCCTCACAGTTTTAAGGATTGACGTTATAGTATAGTTAGGCCATGTGTAACTGACAGATTGGATGCCAAATTGTGATTTTAATATAGATTTTATCTGTTATTTATTATTTTATTATTCTAGAGTTTTTAACTGGTTGTGTCATGCCCTTGTGGGAGTCTGATTCTGAGGGGGAGATTGAGCAGCTGACAGGGAGTGGGAGTGTGACTCCGGTGGCTGTGGAAGAAACGGGGGAAGGGCACAATCCGGCTGGCCATTCAGAGGAAGACCCAGGGCCATCCCCTCTTCATCCTAGGGCACGCAGGGAGGAATGGAGAAGGGAGCAACATGGCTTACAGGAGAGGAAAGGGCCCTGAACCCTTTCATTAGTTGCAGCCGAAGGAACAGGAT